AGCTCTAAACCTCTTCAAATTACTTTCAGTGATTTATGGGGACCCTCTCCTGTGTTATCTGTTAATAAAAAACTATATTATTGTATATTTGTTGATCAATACACAAGATACACTTGGCTCTACACACTTAAAAATAAATCTGAAGTCAGAGACATTTTTCAAAAATTCCATCCTTTGATAGAAAAACATTTCAATACCAAATTTCTATCGCTTTATACTGATGGTGGAGGAGAGTATAAAAGTCTTGACCCTTATCTCTCGCTTCACGGTATCGAACACCTTTCCACTCCACCCTATACACCTCAAAGAGTTGCTCTTACTGAGCGCAGACATTGTCACATTATTGAAACTGCACGAACACTCTTACATGAGGCGTCTCTCCCATCACCTTTTTGGTCCTTTGCCTGTCACCATGCGGTCTATCTCATTAACCGACTCACTACCACACTTTTAAATAATAATTCTCCTTTTGAAAAATTATTTGGTAAAACACCTGATTATGCTTCTCTAAGAATTTTTGGGTGTTTATGTTATCCATGGCTTAAACCATACTCTAAAAAAAAATTTGAACCAAAATCCACCCCATGTGTTTATCTCGATTTTTCATTGTCCCATCACTGCCACCAATGCTTTGATCCAATCTCATCAAAAATTTATTTATCTTGTGATGTTCATTTTGTTGAAAATAACTTTCCTTTCAAAACTTTGTTCTCTAATATTATAATTCAAAAAAGGCACCTCGAATGGACAACTAGTGCATTTTCTAATACACTCAATCTCACCCCTAATGTTTCTAATATTTTATACTTCCCCCTCCCACATTGAAATACCAACTCCTGCGGCAGAACCCCAAACCCAAATGACATCTCGTTCCCCAAACCAAATTGACCCACTACTACCATCATCCATTTTCGGCGTACCAGTGGCAGAAGCAAATTCGGACTCTTCCAAAACTTCAACTCCAGGTAATCCTCTCTTTCCTTCTTCTTCTTCTATAATTTCCATTGCCTAGGAGTCTCTTTGTCACTGCGCATCTTCTCCGATACCTTTGACCACTGTCCGTCAACCGCCAAACCCCAACACACCTATAAATTCACCATCTTCTACATCTAAACCTTCAAAAAAATCTCCCCCACTTCGAGTGTATCACCGCAGAACACCCCAATCCAAACCTATGGCACCTCCTCCTACTGTCTCTGTTCGAACCAGCAGCAACCAAGCGGCACCACCAGTCAAACCCATACTTTCCCGCTGCCCTTCCCCTCCCAATCGTATTATCACCCATTCACAGAATAACATTCAAAAATCAAAGAAATTTTTTGACTACCTTGCTCATTTAGAAACCTCACTTGTACCACATACCTTTAAACAAGCTGAGAAACACCCTGAGTGGAGCAAAGCTATGAAATCAGAATTTGATGCTTTGCTGAATAACCGTACTTGGGAACTAGTTCCAAATGATCCTTCTAAAAATGTTATTTCATGTAAGTGGCTTTTCAGGATTAAGAGTAAAGCAGATGGTTCGGTTGATCGCTACAAAGCAAGACTAGTTGCAAAAGGATTTACTCAGAGGCCGGGTGTTGATTTTTACTCGACTTTCGGTCCAGTAGTAAAACCTACCACTGTCCGAATTATTCTTGTTGTTGCTCTCCAATTTCACTGGCCCCTTCGTCAGCTTGACGTCAACAATGCATTTCGTTAAGGTGATCTTGAAGAGGAGGTTTACATGATGCAACTTTCGGGGTTTACTTGTGCCAACAACCCGACTCATATCTGTAAGTTGCGCAAGGCAATTTATGGCCTGAAGCAAGCACCTCGGGCTTGGTACAATGCACTCAAAGGACATCTTTTGTACATGGGATTTTTCAAGACTGAATCAGACAACTCTCTATTCGTTCGGATCAGCAACGCTAGTTTCATGTTCATTCTGGTATATGTTGACGACATTATCATCACCGGCAACAATCTTATCACCGTGAATGAGGTTATAGCTTCCCTTGCTTCTCGCTTCTCAATTAAAGATTTGGGAAACCTTCATTACTTTCTTGGTGTTGAGGTGATTCGCAGTTCAAATGACATTATTCTATCTTAAGCAAATTATATCAATGAAATTCTAAGTGCAGAATTGATGTCTGATTGTAAAAGTGCTAAAACACCAATGAGTAACTCCGACTTACTCAAACTCAATGATGGGACTGACCTTACAGATGCAACTCGCTATCGCCGAGTCCTAGGCAGACTTCAATATATGTCCTTTACAAGGCCAAACATTTCTTATGCGGTCAATAAACTGTCCCAATTTATGCAATCACCATCAGACCTGCATTGGAAAGTTGTGAAACGTGTTCTCAGGTATCTTTGTGGTACAATCCAGTTTGGCCTCCGTGTATCCCCAAGTTGTGATTTTAATCTGCACATGTATTCTGACGCCGACTGGGCTAGATATCTCACTGATAGATCCTCCACATCTGGCTATATTTTGTTTCTTGATTGTAACCCCATCAGTTGGTCTTCAAAAAAGCAGAAAATTGTCGCTCGCTCATCAACTGAAGCTGAATATAGAGCTGTTGCCAACGCTCTTGCTGAACTATTATGGGTGAAACACCTATTGCTTGAGATGAAGCTTTCTATCAAAGATACTCCCACAATCTACTATGACAACATTGATGTCACTTACATAGGGGAAAATCCAGGCCTTCATAGTCGCATGAAGCATGTTGAGGTGGACTTTCACTTTGTGTGCAACCATGTTCAACAGAAGGGGGTTCAAGTTGTTCATGTTCATTCTGCTGACCAACTAGCTGATACGCTCACCAAGCCTCTTGCCAAACCAGCCTTTGACCGAAATTTGTTCAAGTTAGGCTTAGTTACACATCGCATAACTTGAGGGGGGCGTATTGGAACAACAATTATACCTAGTTGTTTTGGATTAGTTCTTAGCTTTCATGCTTATCTTAGACTAGATATAGATTTAGAGTTATCCTTTTAGTTCATACTTATCATTCAGTTAGTTAGTTTTAGATAGTGTTTTGATTTGAATAAGTCTCCTAATTCAAGGAGTACTCTTAGGAAGACTTGTATTTAAACTGAGCTTGGCATTCAATACACATATAGTTTTCCATCATATTCTTCAGTGTTCATAAACAGATGCACAAAACTAACAGTTCCTTTCCTAGTGCAATGAACATAGCACAGTATCGTTTGGTAGGGTGTATAAGAATAATGTTGAATATGGTATATTAGTAATGCAAAGATTAGTAATGTATGGGTTAGTAATGCAAGCATTAATTATGCAGAAATTATTTTTTATACAATATTTGGTATGGTGTATTAAAATGCATTGCACAACTTTTAAATAAATTAGTTGTTTACAAAAATACCCAATATTATTTTTTAGCTTTAAGGAACTTTAAGGACAATTTTATCTTTAATCATGCCAATGCATGTATTAATACACTTGGTATTACTAATACCATGGTTTTTTATGCATTAGTTATATATAGAATAATACCAAGTAGAGTGTATAACTAATGCTTGTATTAGTTATACATAGATTAAAAAAATGTACCAAATAAAGTATTACTAATACACAAAGCTAACGCATGCATTATTTTCTCTAATATACTCTACCGAACGACCTCTAAAATAAAACCCCGCTTAGGGTCTTCTTGACCTACTCTCGCCGTCAGTGTCTCCGTCGATTGTTTTCATCTTCGGTGCCAGAAGAGCTCTTTCTCTCTTTAACAACTCTTCTTTTTTTCTCTTTTGTTAAAACTATATGATTGTAAAGAAAGTTCCCACCATTACTTTTGCAATTAGACAGTCATTGAAGAGCATTTTTGCATCAGAAACTAAAAGGTTGAATATGCTAGTGGACCATTAGTGCACTTCTGCAATTATTAATTTTTAGTTGAGTGGTCAAACAACGCATGAGAACCATCCATGCTTTGAAGATAATAAGTTTTTAGTGTAAGTTATCTTAGCAGATTCTGCTATAGCAATTTCACAAATTTGCTCACGGTATTCACTCACAAGATCAATCTTTCCAGTTTCCACGTGCAGCTAACTAGTCGGCTAGATCAGTTTTCTCAAACTCATGTAATTCCTTGACTAGTTGAATGGGCAAGAATCTTTCGAAAAGCTATGAGGAATAAGGAGAGGATATTGTTGCAGAGTATATCATTGGCAAATTCAGATATCTAGTTTCATTAGCTCTAGCTAGGAAGAAGACTTCGATTTGGGTCTTGTTTTTACGGCGTCAGGTGCATTTCATGACAGAACTAAAGGAGCCGTTAGCTTTGTGCATCTGTTTGGGTTTGGTGTTAACAGAGACTAAAGGTGTTCAACTTATATAAACTTAAGGGACAATAAGTGCTCAAGATAATATATAAAGGACAAATTTAAACCTACCCTCAAACATAAGGGACAATTTTGACTAAAAACTCTATAAATGGATAATGTTATCGTCCAACGAGCGCAGGATTTTACTTAAATAGACTAACAGCATAAAAATGTTATACACTAAACTATATATTTATTCGGTTACCATGTTACTTTTTAGTGTACATTTTTATGTTGCCAAACTAGATTTATCATACACAGTTATATTTTTATTTAATCATTTGATATTCAATATCCATTGGTCCAACGAATCCAGATTTAGGTTACATAGGGGAAGTGCTCCTTTTTACGAATATTCTTTCTCATGGCTCAAGCCCGAGAACTTTGGTAAAAGGCCAAGGTGATCTCATTCATCTCACCACATCTCTTGATAATTATATGCAGGCAGACATTCGATTTATGAAAAGTTTTTTTTCTTTTGTCCATTAATCAGATGAATGAACTCAATGTAATTATGAAAGAACTTGAGAGAACTCAGATATTCAATCGGCATAGCGACGAAAGGTAGGGAGAGCTCCCTGAAAATGAACCCATTCTTCAACTAAACTTAACAATATATGAAGGTCACACAGAAGAGGCAGAAATTTTAATAGCAGGAAGGAGGATGAAAATAAGGATTAATAGTATATCAAAAGATTCACAAGCACGTTTACAATGCCCTTTACACTGCAAGAAGTTCTCGGGGTAATGTACCAATATTGGCAGTTCATCAACTACTTCCTAGTTGCCATTAACATTGCACGGATTTTAGCCCGAAGATCATCTGATATCTCAGTAGATTCAGAATGCTGAGATGCGGCTCTTTGATGGGAACTAGATACATCCACCGAAGCTTCTCTGCTGACGGAACCTCCCGGACTTCCTCTTGATTGATCTGACACTTTGGTACCGATCTCACCCTCTTCCAGTTCTTCTCTTTCTTTGGTCCCCTTCTCATTCTTATTGGCCCTGCCATAGTGCTGCTTTTCATCATCTGAAGAGTTCGGGCGCTTATGCCCATGTTCAGACTCATCATCACTGAAATGCTTTGGCCTGTGTTTGAGTTTCTCTCTACTCCGGTGGGAGGTTCTATGAGATCTATGTTTCTTCTTGGAGTGCTTATAATCCTCCTCATAATCATCTTTCCTATTTTCAGGTGAAGACTGATGACTGGAATGCTTTTTCCTTCCATGCTTATGATGTCTCTCGGCATCTCTTCGCTCATCATCATCATCATCATATTCAGGGGATGAATGCCGTCTGCGGTGCTTCTTTCTTGATCGTTTATCATCTTCATCATCATCATCATCATCTTCAGGGGATGAATGCCGTCTGCGGTGCTTCTTTCTTGATCGTTTATCATCTTCATCATCATCATCATCATCTTCAGGGGATGAATGCCGTCTGCGGTGCTTCTTTCTTGATCGTTTATCATCTTCATCATCATCTTCATCATATTCAGGCGATGAATGCCGCCTGCGGTGCTTCTTTCTTGATCGTTTATCTTCATCATCTTCATCCTCATATGCATTGCCACCATCTTTGTGTCTATGACGGTGTGAACGCCTCTTTTTTTTGGATCGTCTATCATCCCTTACCTCTCCACTTTCTTCCTCTTCATCTTCTCTTGAAGAGTGGTGCTTCTTCCTGGACAGCTGCTTCTCCTCCTCCTCTCCCTCTCCCTCTTCCTCTTCATCCTCCTCGTCGGGTCTATCAGATCTTGACCGGTATTTCCTTCTTGATCGCCGCTCATTCTCTTCAGCATTATGTTTTATTTCAGATTTCTCATTTTCATTGGACACATTATTAATTAATGGAGCTGCACTGCCTTCTCTCTCTAGAGCAGTCAGTTCTGACGGAGCTGCACTGCCTTCTCTCCCTAGAGCAGTCAATTCTGACGGAGCTGCACTGCCTTCTCTTTCTCTAGTAGCAGCATTAACCTCTGTGCCAGAACCTGATAAGGCAGATTCCTGCGGTTCCACTGACCCTCCATGTGAAGAATCTCTTTTCACAGGAGCTGCTCCACCTTTTAAGAGGGCCACAAACATCTTTGCCCTTCTCAGCCTCTCTGCTTTCAGCTTCTGCTCTTTGCTCAAGTGTGCTTCAGAGGAGTCTGCCTCACTCGCAGCTTCAGCAGCAGCAGACTTTGCGATTTCCTTCGCCTTTGGAATCGAAACACTATTTTTCATCCTCTGGTCAGACCTCTGACTAAATGGAGGGACATTGAGGAAACTTGAGGCTTGGCCACCCTCACTGCTGTGACCCTGACTATCACCATTCTTAGATGAGCCTGATATGATATTCAAATTGGGATTTTTAATACCTCTAGTGGCTGCGTGAAGGATAGCAGCAGCAGCAGCAGCGTCCACATTGACTCCAACCTCTTGCTCTGAAGTTCTGGTCAGGGAGTCCTGCATTTCCTTCTTGGATTTACCAATCACCATTTTAAACTTCTCTTTCTTATCAGATACATATGGCAGATCATAGCCTGCAGATCTGGAGGGAGAATCACTTTCCTTCAAAGCTCTTTTTTCTGATCCATGGACTTTTGACTGCACAACAAAGAGAAGAGCAAAAGACACAATGTTAAAGCAATTCCACACACTCCTCTCCAAAGGGAAAGTAGTATAACCAGGTTCACATGCATCAGCTACACCAATATGCCAAAATCATAGAGAAAAATACTGTCATTGGTTTTTTGTGTTAATACATTGTGAAAGAAGCAAGTACTATAAGTTCAGGAAAATAAAATAGTATGCTCAAATTCAAAATTTATACAAAAAATTTCAGCCAGGTGACTGCAGGACAACACATATATTTCCCAGACAGAGAAAGAGCTTTCACCTCTAGAGCTTTCTGGAGTATTTTTAGATAGTAAGGATGATATTGGTTGGTTGGAAGGAGAAATGGGAATCTGCCATGTTTGCTGTCCTGTTCCATAAGAGTTGACTCAAACTGCTTCCCATTCTTCAGAATGAACTCCACAATCTTATTAATCAATTTCTTCAGATCAGATGGAGGCTCCACCAAAGGTCCAGTCTTCGACACTGCTCCTAGACCAGACACCTCTGCATTTGTCTTTCTAGATGCAGCAGAAGAACCACCGTCATCTTCCTTCTGCATGCTAGTTCTAATTCCGCTTTTGGAAGCATTAATCAAATTATTCTTTTTCAGTGCAGCAGCCTTTTCTTTATCTTTAATAGAACGAAATGAATTTGTAGAAACTCTCTCGTTTTTTTCTTTCTCATCTTTTTCAAATTCCTTGGAACCATCAGCCCTTTCAAGAGGACTGGAAACATTTGTGGCACTCAAGGTATCAAGTGTTGCACTGGTAACTTTGGATCCAGGATCATCCCCATTCGCAAGCTCCTCGTCCTCTCCGGACTCATATACAGAACCAAGCAAAGATAAAGCACCACCACGACCATCATGTTCCTTCTGCTCATTGGAATCCTTTCCTCCTTCATTTTGAGCTTTCACATCACTACCAGATTGTAAAAGTTCAGGGTGATCAACAAGAAACCTAAAGTATGCATGAAGATCGTGGTCAGGCATTAAGAACCCAAATGTTGGATTGTCTCCCTGCTTTACCCTCAGAACAATTTCTGACTGCCCACCATGTTTGCTCACAAACAGTGCAGTCCTTGCAATTATCTGATGTACCTTTTCCGTTGGTGGCTGCAAAAAGATAGAAAGCAACAAAGAGCCCATTAAAATGTAGAATTCACAATTCTGGATAAAAAATAAGCTAGAACCTTAGATACAATCAAAGCTTCAAACATATCAATCCACAAAAATGTGTGCCCATTAATGAAATTAAAAGAGCAATATTAAGTAAATTAAGAGAAGATCCCTCTCAACTAGCAACAAATTGTCCTTATAAAGATAACTTCTTAATATTCCTAATCCCACCTGCACTGCCCCTTGGTCATGCATCAAAAGGGAACAAGGTGCCTGTGAATGGCAACCTTAGATGAAAAGAACTCCATCCCTGCTCCGAGCATCTGAAAACTTAGACATGGTGAGCCTTAGAATAACATAAGCTTTGGACAACTAGTAGCATTGGCCACATGGGGAAAACCTCGTTAGCATGTAAACACAATATCCAAGCTTTATGAAAGCCGACAAAAAACCAAATCGAAGAGCATAAGCTTACCAAGCATTGAAGTAGGCTTTCCGGCACTGGAAAGGAGGGACGAAACTCGGAGCTTTCCTGGCCCACCTCAGAACTTTTTCTGTAAGCAGAATCATCAGTAGGTCCATATGAGAAACCAACAGCACGATAAGCACCAGCATCCACCGACTTTTCGTCTTCTTCCATTTCTAAAGGAAGAAATCATTAAATCATATTAATATTTATGTATTATCCAAGATCAAGAGCAACATAACTAACGCAAAGCCACAGGAAAAATAATCCAGACAGAACAAGATTAGGTTAAAATAATGATACTTGCACGGATAAGTAAAGATGATCTTGCTCGTTGTGAGATACAGAAAATGTGTAATTAAAAGGTCCAGTAACTTAAAACACGTTGCAAAAAGAACATTTTACAGCCACTAACTAGGCAGCCAGCATGCTACATTTCCTCAGTCTACCTTATTTTAAGATACGCCAGCACCAAAATATCATCTCTAGGAAGCACTGCCTGCCTATAAAAACATTTGCTAACAACATTATTTCCATAACAATAAATCGTATTCTCAGCTGTCCAATTGCAAATGAATATTATTTAAAACAGAAAGGCGTACCATCAGAGGAAGTTTCCACAGCGACCAGAAAACCAAAGACAGGTGCAGGATGAACCCTCAACTATACAACAAGATTGTTTTATAATACTATTTTATGCTTCGCAATGTCAATCAGGTCAGTTTACTACAGCAAGCAAAACTTTTTTTTTTCCCCTGGGAAGTCCATGCATAGCAAATCCTATTTAGAAGCATCATATATAGCTACCGCAACAAGCTATTACAGATGCAGATCCAGCATATTAAGTTTACAAACTTAGCATAAAGATATGAATTGCACAAAAGAAATGAATCCAACACAACGAGCACACACCAGGATTATTGAAACTTATTTAGCCCAATAAACCACTTAACGATATTAACATCAGCTAGCGAATCATTACGTATTATCGGATTGTTAGCTTCCTGATTATTTACGCTAAATTAGCACAGAACACTATTAACAAAATAAAATACATGAAAAAGTTATCCACGCAATGTTAGAATTAAAAAAAAAAAGGAAGGAAATAAGAGTTAAGTTTACCTGGTTCATCTGAAGGCGAAGGAAGATCGAGGTAACGTTCATGATCGAGCTCGAACTGAATCGAAGCATCGACGAGATTCGAAGACGTAGAAGAGTGAGACCGCCGGCGGGAAGGTGGAGGTGCGGAGAGAAGGTGGCGGACATCATAACGATCAATTTGGAGAGAGTTCCATTCGACAAGAGCGTCGCCGGAGTTGACGAACGCCGCCATGGCGTCGTCGTCGAAGAGGAGGGCATGGCGGCCCACCACCTCTAGATCCATCGCAAACCGCCGAATTTGGCTTAATCTCTACGGTCTCGATTTTACTCTTCCCTTTTCCGATACGGTTCGAATGAGAAACCCTAGTTAGGACCCTTTCGTGAAATTGGGAAATTAGCTGTCGATCAGGGTTGGGCCAATACTAAGACAAACTTTTACTAGAGGGAGATTTGCACAAATAGGACTAGTGCCACCGTTTAATTTTTGATCCATTAAGAAAAGTTTTGAAAATCTAACAGCACCACCACCGCCACCACCAACAACAACCCACTAAAATCATAACAACAACAACAACCCAAATTATAAGAGTGAGCTCTGCATAAGATAATATGTATGCAGACCTTACCCCTACCCGAGTGGCTAAAGGGGTTATTTCTGAAAGACCATCGGCTCAAGACGACGAAAAGAAACACTATATCAATACCATCAACAGAAAAATCAAGAGATAATGACAGCAACATAAGAACCAGAAAATAGATATAAAGCAATAACAATAACCAGTAAATAAAGCTCGGCACAATGAAAACGGAGAATAGTGTGAACACAATATTAACCACCAGCAGTCAGAGACACAACCCTATCAGACTAGTCTCAGCCACCTCTTAACCAACAACCCTAATGCACGACCTCCACACATTTCTATCAAGGGCCATGTCCTCGAAAATCTAAAGTCATGTCATGTCCTGTCTAATCACCTCTCCCCCAATACTTCTTAAGTCGCCCTTTGCCTCTTCTCGTACCCGCCAAAATCAACCGCTCACACTTCCTAACCGGGACATCCGGGCTTCTCCTCCGTACGTGTCTGAACCATCTAAGCCTCGCTTCCCGCATCTTGGTATCCATAGGAGTCACGCTCATCTTCTCCCGAATATCTTCATTTCGAATCTTATCCATCTCAATACGTGGAACCAGGGTCAAATAATACGGAGACATCTCTGTGACAAACCGAGACAATACCTGTAATCACAACATCTGAAGCAATAGCATCTGGTCTGGCATGGAGGGCATAGAAATGGGCCTGGCCATCCCCTGATATGCCTCCCCTTCTAAGGAGACCCCTAGCTGACTGGGCTCCGCCCCTAGCTGTTTGGGCGGGTGGTGGAGGAACTGGTGCGGGTGCTATCGGCCGAGTACTCCGCTGTGGAGTCCCACCCAATAGCCTAGGGTAATCTCTCATAATGTGACCAAAATCTCCGCACTCGAAACAACCCCTCCTCTGACGAAACTGTTGCTCCTGATGCCCAAAAGAACTACCTGAGGATACCTGAGTGGGCGGGGGAATGATGAAAACTCTACGTTGGTAGTGCACTGAATAAAGATTGGCCCTGCTGATGTCTGTGAGAACCATGGCCAGATGATGCACCATGGTGAAATGGCTGGGCTGTCTGAGCCAGTCTGAAATAACGACCTCTACCGTGCTGGAACTGACCCCCCAAAGGAGCACCGCTGAATCCACCCTGACCACGAGGTCGTTTGGCCTCCCTCTCAACCCTCTCCTGACCACGAACCATCTCAATCTGCCGAGCAATGTCAACAACCTCATCAAAGGTAGCACCAGACCCCCTCTCTCTAGTCATGATCAACCGTGGCTGAAAAGTGATACCATCTATAAACCTCATGATCCTTTCCCTGTCTGTGGGAACCAACCAAATAGCATGACAGACCAACTCCGAGAATCGCATCTCATACTGTGTCACAGATATATCGCCCTAGCGAAGCTGCTCAAACTGTCTGCGCAGCTCCTCTCTACGGGACTGAGGCACGAACTTCTCCAAAAAGATCACGGAGAACTGCTGCCAAGTAAGGGGTGTTGCGCCAACAGGTCTACGCCTCTCGTAAGTCTCCCACCATCTAAATGCAGCCCCAGAAAACTGAAAAGTAGTGAATGAGACCCCACAAGTCTCGAGAATACCAGCAGTACGGAGTATCCTCTAACACCTGTCCAAGAAGTCCTGAGCATCCTCTCTCTCTTTGTGCCATTGAAATGTGGCAGCTGGAGTCTCCCGAACCTCTCCAACCTACGCTGATCATCCTCATGCATAGCAGGAACCACATAATCTTGTGCAGTTGCAACCATCTGGGCTGGTGGTGCCCCCGGTGTCTGGAGTCCCTGAACAACCTGCTCGGGTGTGCGAGCGACGGGAGTCTGAGTGCTTGTGCCTCCCCCAGCCTGAGAAGTGGTTGCGACTGTCGATATAGAGACCGCCTGAGCAAGGTCGGTACACGTTGTTAGAATCTGAGCTAGGGCCTCCTGAAGGGTTGGAATCATAATAGGCACAAGTAATGCCTGAGGTGGAGCATCAACAACTGGAACCTGGTCCTGATCTGGGATAACTGGTGTATTTGCAGGTACTGCCCCAGCTATTGTACGAGTTGCACCTTTGCCCCTACCACAACCTCTACTGCGACCTCGGCCTCTCGCGGCCCTGACTGGCGGTACTGGTGGCTGACCCTCCTGAACGGTAGCACGAGTTCTCACCATCTGTGAGAGAATGAAACAACAAATGTTTAGTTATTAGAATCAACAGATTCGCACGACAAGAATTCAAGAATGTGGAATTTTTCCTAAAGGTTCCGCAACCTCTCGAAGATAAGTACAAACGTTTTTATACCGATCCGCAAGACTCTACTAAACCCGCTTATGACTCGTGAGACCTATGTAACCTAGGCTTTGATACCAATCTATCACTACCTAAACTACACTGTCGTGATGGTGCCTATCGTGGTACTAGGCAAGCCTACCTTTCCAAGACTCTTTCAAATTTTGAACATAAGTGAATTAAAACATTTAAAATATTCGAAGTTTTCATAAATACGGGGTAAAACCCAAATATAAACATAAGTGCAGAAAAATAGCTCGACATCGGGGTGTCACTAAGTCATGAGCATCTAGATAACTAAACTAATACAACCAGTGTCTAAGTATCAATATAAGACAGAAAGAAATATATAGAAGGAGAGACAAGGCCCTGCGGATGCTGGCAGCTACCTCGTAGTCTCTGGTACTCGATCCTCCCGGACTCAATCACCTCCGTAATCAAACACACCTGGATTTGCACATGAAGTGCAAGGTGCAGCATGAATACAACCAACTCAACAAGTAACAGAAATAAATAAGGAACTGAGAAGCAGTGACGAGCTATACAGTACAGTTCATTTTATAAGTTTTCAGCAAAGAGTGAACGTGCTTTCAAAATCCTTTGGTATAAGTCAAAACAGTTCGCGCTCATGTAAAACAGATATGAATCTTCTAGAATTTTTACAACAACAACAGATAACAACCAAGTGCAATAATAAATAAAGCAGGTATAACCTCTTAAGGCAGTAGTCACTAAACCCATCTCAACCTCACACTCTCGGCTCTCAACCCTCAATAGGTACTTGCGCTCACTAGGGGGTTCAGACTCATGAGGGGTTCCTACAGCCCAAGCGCTATAAGCACGGATAACTCACGTGTTATAATATCATATCTGGATCCGCACAGACAACTCACGTGCTGCACGGATAACTCACATGCCATAGTATAAACATAAGGATCCGCACGGACAACTCACGTGTTGCACGGACAACTCACGTGCCATAGAACAATACCTCACAACCAATCCTTCGGCCTTACTCAATCATGAACCTCTCTAGTCTCATAGCTCTCAATAAAGAAAGGGAAAAGAGCCCAAATCAAAGTGTTACGGTATATCATTAGGGGGAAAAACAAATAACAGAGAGTGGGGTAAACATGTACTCTCTGACTCAGTATAACTACCATGAACGGAATATAGCCTAAGCATGACTTCTAACATGAAAGGCAGTCAATTTCTAGTAAAAACAGGAATGCATATAAACACAAATAAAGGCTATTAGACTTCACAGTCTCCCGGGACGGACTAAGACTCAATCCCCCACGGTGTACAGTCACACACCTGTCACTTAGCATGGGTGCCACCTTCAAACAATCACATTATACCAAACTTCGGGTTTCATACCCTCAAGACCAGATTTAAAACTGTTACTTACCTCAACAATGTAGAACTCCTACTCCGAAATGCTCTTGCCCCTCAATTCGGTCTCCAAATACTCCGAATCTATTCACAATCAGTACAATACCATCAATTTATGCTAAAGGAATTAATTTCACAAGAAAAATACCAAATTAGACTCAAAACCCGAAATTGGCTCAACCTGGCCCCCGGGGGGCCACATCTCAAAATCCGACAAAATGTACAAAACTAGAAAGCCATTCACTCACGAGTAGAACCATACCAAATTCATCAAAATCTGACATCGTTTGGTCCTTCAAATTCTTAAATTAAACTCTCCAAAATCCAGAGCCCTAACCCCTCATTTTCACTAATTACAAGATTAAACAACGGAAAATCATCATACATACGAGTATTAGGGATCAAGCAACTTACCTCACTGATATCCCTTGAATCACCCTTCAAATATCACTCCAAAAGCTCCAAAAGCCGACTTGAAAATGATGGAAATGAACCAAATTCGCGAAGGGTTCTATTTATGGTTTCTGCCCAGGCTTTTCGCACATGCAAAAAATTTCACGCTTATGCGCCACCGCACCTGCGGTCAAGGCGCCGCAATCGCGAACTCCACTTAATTTCCCAGCTTTCGTACCTGCGCCCCATACCCCCCACCCGCGGGCTCGCAAGTGCGGCCAAATCCTTCGTGCCTGCGCTCCAACCTTGACCTCCTCTTTTCCGCATCTGCGCCCCAGGACTGGCACCTACGGGCTCGCAGATGCGACCTCCAACTCGCACTTGCACATCCTGCCTAGCCCAGCACTTCCCGCTCCTGCGAACTCCCCATGCGCACCAGAGACCTTGCACATGCGACTCCTCCTTCTGCAGGTGCGAAAATAGCAGTAGTAGCAGCTTCAACTGCATTTTCCAACTTCGACAAATCCGTTAACCACCTAGAATCACCCCGAGGCCCTTGGGACCTCAACCAAAAATACCAATGAGTCATATATCAACAAACAAACTTACTCGAACCTTCGAATCACTCAAAACAACATCAAATTACCAAATTGCCCTCAGATTCAAGCCTAAAAACTTTTATACTTCTAAATTCGACAACCGATGCCGAAACCAACCAAACCACGTCCGAATAACCTCAAATTTTGCACACACGTCACAACTGACTCTAAAAACCTACTCCAACTTCCGAAATTCCATTCCAACCCCGATATCAAATTTTCCACTGCCGACCGAAAATCGCCAAATTTCAAATTTTGCCAATTCAAGCCT